ACTCTTGAAAAGTGAGAAATTAATGAAAAGGTTTGAGAAAAGACATTGAATACTGACAATAGAAGAGGAAGTGCTTTCACCTGCTTAAGTCCAATAATGTTGTCTCCTTCCATTATTTTATCCCAGTCAAATCTCTCAGCAAGACCATTGAGCAAGTCCTTTATTTGTTCATATTTTATAGGATGTAAAGTTCCAATCTCAAAACCAAAATTTTCTTGTTCTGTACCTATCCTGCCAAAACAAACCATCCAAGTTAAAGATTTAACAGAAGCAAAACATAAACGTCTCATCATAGTTATCAAGGCGGTGAGGTGACACTTGGTGGCAGGGCACCACCTTGTCACTTAAAGGCTAAGAACTCCAACATTGCAATCAAACTCAAATCCATTGTCTAGTATTAGAGAATAGCCCTCAGAACTACAGTGATCCCTTTCCTTCCATTGGTAAATCAAATTCAGTACCTTGCATTAGTTTTTCTAGGGAGGCTTATTGGAAAAGTTGCTCTGGTAGACCTCTATTGGGAGCCATGAATCCTTTGATTATAAACATGGTTTTATGCTCTTCTATGGTCAGTTGCAGATCCAAGACTTTTGAACAGTGGGAGCAGGCATTATCATAACATCAACTTTAGTCAACAACATTTTAGTAATTAAAACAAAAAATTGAGATTAAGATATTTTCACTCATACATTTTAAGAAAAATAGATACATCTCACTATGAAGAGACTTGATATGTCATATTAGGATAGCCCTTGTTGTACAGTAACATCATATTAGGATAGCCCTTGATACATCTCATTGTAAGAAGAAGAACATTTGTGCATACTGCAAACAACATGGTCACATTATCCCAGACTATCTTATTCAACCACCTAAGAATGCTCAAAGGAAAGGTCAGCCCTATGCATATCAAGAAACAAAGGGCCAGTCTTCTGATGTCACTTAGGCCAAGGGTAATTCTTCTATTAGAGGTGATTCCTTTGTATCCATAGATGAAGACAATTCGGCAATTGATATTATCTACTATTTCTTCAGTCCTTTTTGCTATTGCCTTCACAAGGTAAGTTCTCTGGTTAATGCTCCTCCCCTTCACATGTTTGGATTATTGACTATGGAGCTACTACTCATATGACAGGAATCTATCCTAATCAGCCAAACCAACTTACTGAGACACACCATAAACACATTGTTACTACCAATTGTGAAAAATTAAACATCATTGGTAGTAATAATTTGTCCCTTAAACTTTCACCCACTATGTCCTTCCCTCTTCCAAAGACCATTTTAGTTCCTAACCTTGCTACTAATCTAGTCCATTTTAGTCAACTTGTTGATGAGGGTAAATTTCTTACTTTTTCTCATGATGATTGTTTGATCCAGGACCAATACAAAGGGAAGGTGAAAGGGAAAGGGTGTAGGTTGGGCCGCCTGTTTGCATTGGAGTTCAAAAGTTTCAACCAGCAGCATCCTCAACATATCTTAATTCATCTACATCTAGTTCTTTTTTAAGTCAAAGAAATAATGCTTGGGACATATGGCATAAACAACTGAGTCATCCATATACTGAAAAGCTAAAGTTTTTGTTTGATTCCAGTTTGATTAAGCATAAAATTCCTTCCATTCATAATTTTGATGTGCCTTGTACTTCTTGTTGCTTAAGTAAAATCATGTTCTAAA